TAGCTGGATCCAGTCACGGGGTCATCTGTGGGGGGTGAGGGCAGGGAGGAAGGCTGGGGCGCGTCTTCACCCCCTCTCCCAGGCCCGCGTTTGTCGATGGACATGAACGCGGAGGATAGCTCGGGCCGTGCGGAGAGCGCAACTGCCGGCCCAGGTGTCCTCGCGCGGGGACTTTAACAGGTGGCCCGATTCAGGTGCGCGCCTTGCTCTCGGAGGCATTTTCCATTCTCCACGCGCTTTCAAAACTTCAGTTGTCATAGGACTTATTTAAAAAACATAACTATCCTAAAATTAAAAGTTTTCTTTTTATGTAGACGTATCTTAATACCACAGAGAGACTGGAGAGAGTTTAGAAAATTGCTGAACCAGTGATAAGATGTGAGAATACCAGAAAGATGGCAACCACGGCTTTAGAAGAGATTCGTTTGACGTACATGCTTATCTTTTGTCTCGTTGGAAACTGTATATTTTTATTTGATTTTGATATTTGTAAAGAACTCTAGCTTTTAAACTTAGAGTCACGTGGGCTGCAGAGCACATGAATCTTTTTGACAATATCCCCAACAAATTATGTTTTGTCTTCTGCTTGGATTATATTTAGTGGAAAGCACAGCCGATTCTTTTGTGTGTTTTAAAGCCGTGTTTTGGAGCAAACCTTCAGCCCACCTGTCCGGTCTGTGTGTGCTTCCTCTGCCATCGCACCCAGGACTAGGACTCCAGACCCCGGGCAGGGCCATCTGCCTGGAGCAGCAACCCGATTTCTCAGTGCAGCTTTAGAAAGCAGATAAAGTAAAGGGCATTTGATCATCATTTCTGTTCGTTCATCTTGCTGCTTCTAACAAATTTGCCCTTTTCAGAGTTTTGAATCTTTATTCTGTTATCTGTGTATTTACGTGTTATTTCTATTGTTGTGACAGTTGAAAACTTGAAACTTTTTAAAGTAAATTCTGTGTATTCATTTAACCAACGTGGAAGCACACGGTGATGATGTGGAAGATAGTTGCTTCCGTTTCTGTTACTGGGTTGGCTTTGGATGTTCGATCAGTCGTTCATCTAATGTCTTTGATAATCTTTGCCCTCGAGAATTCTGTGGGCGATTTCTTAGATACTTTTAGAGAATCCTATTCACGTGATCTACCAAACTAGTAAACATATCACAAAAGGAATTTGGATTAAGGTGGTTTTAGTGAAACTTAGTGAAACTAAGTGACCTTTGAGTTATCATCAATTATTTGCTAAATGCAAATAAACCTGTTTCATACTCGAATTGTGCTGAAGATCAGTGGCCACCTTGCTCATTTCTCCCCTTTTGGAAGTATGGCTTATCACTTGATGGTGTCCTGTGTTCTGGTTTTGTCCTCAACTGGTCCTCAAAATTCCATGTAATGACTCTGAGACGACAATCAGGTTCCTTCGGCAACCAGGGAAGTAATTCATCTGATTCTGAAGACTTCGACGGGCTGATTGAGACAGGTTACTTGTGGACCATCTTCTTATCAGTCTTAGGTAGCAAGTCCCACTTACATACCCTTACCAGACTATGTCAGTATCCGCTAGCATAAAGAATGCCCTACAGACACAGAAATTAGCCATAGGTATAACTCAGTAGAAAAGTTTCTGCAGTAAATAGAATTGTGCGTCATCTGACTGAGGGAATACAAGCCACTTGGTTTGTCTTTCTCTTGTTTGGTGTTGCTCTGAGAGTGTGCCCAGAGATCCTTTCACCCTATTCCTGGAGTGTAAAGCGGGGAGAGCCAACCTTGGCATTATCTGGAGAACTGTGGTTCGGCTATCAGTGGAACAACAGGTGGCAGTGGGGAGACCAAATGGTGGATATTGAGCCCAAATACCTTACCCCTGCATGTCCTCCCCAGTTTTACTTTAGGGGTGGGATTCAAAGAGAAATTGAGAACTGGCAGGTGCTAGACAGTACAGATTTCAGAGAAGTTTTTAGCGTATTAGTAGGTTGCTTCATTTACCTCCTCTTTGCAGTTGAGTTTGGCTTACAAAAGTAGTAGAAGGTATTTACTTATTTATTTTTATTTTACAACATGTATTCATGATGCCGAGGTCATGAGTTTTATGCTGGTATAGACCTGTTATTATTTTCTGCTGTGTCCATAGACTTTGCTCCTAACTTTGCCTGAAATTTGTCAAACCTCAGAGAGAGTATGAATGAATCAATGCCAATTCTATCAATATAAATGAAATCTTTTAAAATTCAGAGGCATATATTCTGTTCACAGCAGACTAGTCAAACTATATTCATATAGGAATGATAAAATAATAAAAGTTATAGATCTGCCTACTTAATTATTATTAATGTAACTGTAATGGTGTTATGTCCTGCTAAAAACTGAAACTCAATGGTTTACACAGCCTAAAAACAAATAAACGTAGTCATGAACTGCCTTAAATTTTTTGTAATGTCTCTCTATACTCATTAATTAAAATGCATTTTCAGAGCCCTTTGACTGTTTGATCCACAGCCTTGGTAGAGCTTCAAGTGTAATTTCTGGCAAATGTTGAACTATTTCTACTAACCAGGCTAGTTTTTTTATGGACAAAAAATAGTTTTGAAATCAATAATTTCCTAACAAAATCCTTCAGTGTGTATAGTGATATATAAATATCCTAAGCCTAAAAATTATTGGATGTTTGTTTATATATTCTGATGACTGTGTTTTTGTGGTATTTTGCGAAGATAGGAAATGAAACCAAAAGGATGCCGGTGAGTATCCCATGGCAGCAGTGACTTCATTTCGTTGGTTCAGAGTGACCTATAACTTGGAAGCCTTCCTTAGGTAAGACGAGGCTTGAAAAAGAAATGATCGGTTTTTAAACGGTCACATATATTTAGGCTAGAATGTATATCAACATTTTTCAGCTAATGAAGATAAATTTGTCTTACATTCTAAAATATATATTATGCACATAGCCATAAAATTATTTTATATGAAGCTTATAATTTTCAGATGAGTTTTATGCTCTAAAAATTAATGTACACGAGGAAATAGAAAATGAAAATGTTATTTTTAGTAAATTATTTGTATTGATATAATATCCTTTATTTATGGTGATGCTGCTATCAGTGAATTGGCAATTCAATGATTTTACTAAATAATTTAAATCAATCCATGTGATTTACAATGAAATTTAGTATACAGCACAATTCCTTAGTTAGAACTGCCTTGCAGTTCTCTAACTCGGGATTTGGGTGAAGTCTTTGTTTTATGTTTGGCTTTGCTGCTTTTACAGTGAAGGATTCTATTAGGGTTAATTTGTTTTGTAGTAACTCAGTGCAATTTTAACTATCATTTTGTAGGTTACCAAATGAAACAATTAGAAGCAAAATGCCAATGAATGTGCTCCCCATCTGAGTTTAGAATCCAGCATCTATCTGTTCCTTACCATTTTAGGGAATTGGCATTATAGAGTAGATCAGCCCTTTTACAATAGCATCTCTTTGAATTATTGGTAATCAGTAGTTTCATGTGTTCTATATTTTATTGATAGACAAGTTCTAAGGTACACATGTAAGTGGTTTAGTTGAACTAAAATACTCTTTAGTAGCTCTTTTGCCTGATGCTTGAGATACAACTTTGCAACTGTTTTTCCTTTCCATTCTGGTTTCCAAACGCTAAAGATGACTTATCATTTTGTTCAGTTACTTTTTAGATCAGTCCTGCTTCTGGGATCCAACTCTATGTTGTGGTTAAGAAATGTTTCCCATCAGAGTGAATCACAAAACAGAGATATTTACATATTAAATAACTATTATATTTGAAGGTATGTTTCAATTATGACACTGAATCTTCCCTATGTATATTGCTAGTATTGAAAGGTGAAAGGAGGGGTTAAATAGTTAACCAAAGACAAATAAAGTTTAAAACCACTGTTCCCATTATTTTGCCTTTCAAATAATTGTATACTTAAAATACTTCAGATTCTTACGTAAAATATGTATACAAGATGACCATATATACTTGGATATATCTGGACTTCAAATTTGTTGGAACTTAGTTATGTCCAAAGCTGGCTAATACCTGGAGATACATTACTTCTTTTTGGAGGGGAAAAATGCTCATTCCTTTGCTGTTTTACTTTAACTGGAGAGGATCAGGTGTGTTATTTGCACAAAGACTTTGTCCCTGCCATATCCAGCCTCTCTAGAGCTCCTGTGTCCAGACTGTCATCTGAAAATGGTTGCAGATCATTTGAGTTTTCGTTAGAATTGTGCTTTGACTTAAGTAATGAAAATAGTTCAAAAAACTGCATTGGACAATTTAATACAGCAACAAAGACTGGAACATTTATTAAGTACTTTGAAAATAGTTCAAAAAACTGCATTGGACAATTTAATACAGCAACAAAGACTGGAACATTTATTAAGTACTTACTATCTGTTGGCCCTTAAAATACTTTAATCCTCACAACAACCTTATGAGATAGGTACTTTCATCCCTGCTTTACAGATGAGGAAACTTCATTTGCTCCGACAAGATTATATAGGTAGTAAGTGACGGAGCTGAGGTTTATCCATACCTGTGTTTTTAATTGTGTTTTACTGTCTCCTAGGCCTCCCAGGAGTTCTAAGCACAATTAAAAAGTGATGCTTTCTCCTGTGTAGGAAGTAGTAATATACATTAATTGACCATGAAAAAACCTGGGACATACACTGCTTCCTTGGACGTTTCCTCTTGGAAGCCTCCGCACCTGCCTCTTCCACAAGCAAAGTCAATCAAATGCCATCGTCTTTTTCCTCCACTAAGACTTGTCCCAACTGAGGTCACAGTATTTATCACCATATTTCACCATTTGGCCATAGCTCTTTGAGAACCAGTTTGCACTGACTTATCTCTGTATGCCCAGCACAGAGCAGCACCTGTCGAAGCACGGGAGTGGAAGATTACTACTAAAATTGTATCAATTAAACTGCTTTTCACGTTCAAATGTTATTTTATACAATTAGAGTCTGAAAAAATTATCACTTAACATTTTTTAATGTTTACAGAATGAAGAGGAAGAATTTATCTGTTGTGAATAAAATTGTCCAGTCTTCACCAACAGCAAAACAGCCAAAACTGGGGTTCTACTCTTCTCTCAACCAGACTCATATGTGCACTGTTCTAGACTGGGGGAGTTTGCCTCACCACGTACTATTACGGATTTTTCAGTATCTTCCTTTAATAGATCGAGCCCATGCATCTTCTGTGTGTAGGAGATGGAATGAAGTCTTTCATATCCCTGACCTTTGGAGAAAGTTTGAATTTGAGCTGAACCAGTCAGCTACTTCATATTTTAAGTCCACTCATCCTGATCTCATTCAGCAGATTATTCAAAAGCATGCTGCCCATCTCCAATATGTCAGTTTTAAGGTAAGAAAAATAAGCATTAACTAGGAACAATGACTTATATTTTGTTAACAACATATTTGGATATCCAGATCCTTATTTTGAGGCAGTCAATGAGTTTTGCAGAACTTTTATCCCAAATGGTTTCCTGTTTTTCTGTAGTTATTTGTGTAGATTTTGGGTGTAGAATTTGAGCTGTAATTGAATAACTTTAGATTCTGGTTCCCTCCTTTGTGTGCCATTATGAAAATTCAGGTAACTGTGGAAGACTTGAAAGTATGAAGTGCTTGGAAAGTTATTTTGTCATCTGTTTTTCAGTTTAGAGTGAGACATTTTGTATAAAGAAAAAGTGTTCATTTATATTACAGCTTGAAGATATAAATAAGACTTTGCAATTTAATTCTATTAAATAATTATATTGCCATTAACTTTAGATAAATTATTTTTAGGAAGTTATTTAAGATTAAAAATTATCTTTACAGGTTGATAGCAGCACAGAGTCAGCAGAAGCTGCCTGTGATATACTTTCTCAGCTGGTAAATTGTTCTATCCAGACCCTGGGCTTGATTTCAACAGCCAAGCCAAGTTTTATGAACGTGTCAAAGGTAAGGATACCATGCTTTATTGGGAGCTACACTAAAATCCTAAATATTGCCAAACTAAGCAAAAACTATTCTTTTCCTAAAGAGAGATTATGTCCTACTTGTAGTCAAAGTATTATTTAAAGCAGTTTTCTGTTAACTAGCACTTAACTTTTACAAAAATAGTTTATGCATGTTTTCATTCTTTAGATCTATGTTGTAATTTTAATAATTGTTTCCACAGTAGGTGTCATTAATATAAAACTTAGATTTTTTTGCTTACTATTTTCAAGTGTTAGTTTATGTATTAATAGTTAGTTTGAATATAGAGCCTGTAGAGGCAATACTGGACGTTTTCCCTATAATTCTGTAGCCTCTCCATTGGAGGTAGAACAATATAACATTCAATTGAATGAACTATACTAGTTAGAATGGTGTTGGGTTTATATAGTAGAAACTCCGAAACAACAGAGGCTTAAAAAACATGATTGAAGTTTATTCCTTTTCGTTAAAGAAATCCATAGGTGAGACAGTCCATAGCTAGTATGAAGTTGTTAGGAACCTAGACTCCTTCCAGCCACTCCACTCTTTACAAGATGTTTTCTTCATTTTCATTGTCTAAGGTGGCTGTCAGAGCTCCAGCCATCACGTCCTTGTTCTAGACACTTGGATGGGAGAAATGGAGCAAGAAGGGTGTGCATTCTCCTTTTCAAGGACACTGCCCGTAAATACCACATAATGTTTCCCTTTGCATCTCAGGCTGCGGCCATACCAGATTTGAGGGAGGCTGGGAAATCTTTTAGCTGGGTGGCATTGTCCCCAGCTAAAAATCGGAACTGGATTACCAAAGAAGAAAGGATGAATGGTTGTTAGAAAGCAAATGGCAGTTTCTGCCACAGAAACTAATAACTGTTTCTCTTCATTTAGGCCTCGAATGAAGCCATCTCCTCGGAGAGGCCTTCCTTAACCACTTTTGCTAAAACAACACTTCTTCCTGCAGTTACTCTACTATGTTGCCTTATTTTATCTTCTTTATATCATTCATTGGTACTTGAAACCACCTTATTTATTTAACATGTTTATTCTCTTCCCCCACCCCCCATCAAAACATAAACTCATTGAGGGTATAGATTCTGCCCATTTTATTACCATTATAAACTCAGAATTAGAATAGTGCCAGATATATATGATAAGCACTAAATTATGGTTGTCGGTAAAACTGGCTAATAATGGAAACTTTCCTATAGAAGAGGAGAAAGGAATAGCAGCAGCATCTCTCGTAAACTGGGTCATGGCTCTCTTTTATCCAGCGTTTCTGCTAGCCTGTCTATCTTTTAAAGCGATACGCTGAAAAAAAAAAAATGGGTCATTTGAGGATTAGAGTAACATAAGTAATCAGATGAAAACTTACTGCTTCTAAAGAGTTATTTCCTTGTCTATGAGCTATAGAAGTAGATTAGCCTGCAATTCTTAGATTCTAAAAGTTGTCTCTGATGCTGCATGTCAGCTTCCAGGCCCAGCTTCTAGGCCAGCCGATGTAGTCACCAGAGCTAGGGCCCAGGAATTAGCAAGCTTCATTTCAGACTCTGCCTCCAGAGTTTAAAATGAGCTCTGTGTCTTCTGGCAAGGTTTGTGGATCTCTCTGAGACTCAGTTTTTTCATTTGTAAACTAAGGAAAAATAGGATAAAAGTACAATATTCTGCTAAATACTGTAAAAAGTGCTAAAAATATATTGCTATTATAATGAAATATGTTTAAATTTGTCCTTCAGGACTAGCACAGTCTATTGAGAATTGATTATAGGGAAAACAAACCTTGTATTTATATTTCTCTAATAAATTTGGCTCCAGAAAATGTGGTAAAGAGGTGTAGCCCTCTACCATTTGAAAATTTGTAAAAAACCAGTTTATAATTAGTATATATCAATGAATTTTCTTATAAGTTAATTAACATTTATAATCCATTGGGTCATTGTGATAGGGACAATAGAACCTTTGGTAGAATCCAAATTGATTTTGAAAAAGGAAAGTGATCGTGCGTGGGTTTGGTTTCTAGACTTTCTATCCTTGCCAAAAAATACTGGATCTGAAAACTTGTGAAATCCTACTCATTTCGTCAGTCTTTAAGGAGTATAAAGATTAGCATCTACTTTGGATAATTTGCTAGGAAAAGCATGCCACTGAAGATTGTGACATCTTTTTATTCATTTATTCATTCAACAAATATTTATCCACTATCTACCGTGTGCCATATACTATTTTAGGTACTGAAAATACAAGAGCGAACAAACAAATTAAAAATTTTATTCTACGGCAGAGGTCAGAATGTCCAGACAGTAACTATTTCAGGCTTTGAGGGCCGTATAGCCCTACTGCAGCCCCTCAACTCTGGCATTGTGGTGCGAAAGCAGATGTAGGCAATACACAAAGGGGCATGACTGTGTTCCAATCAAACCTTATTTATGGACACTGAAATTTGAGTTTCATATAATTTTCACATGTCACAAAATATTCTTTAAAATTTTTTTTCCAACCATTTAAAAATGTACAACCATTCTTAGCTTGTGAGATATACAGAAATACACTGTGGGTCAGATTCAGCCAATGATCCGTAATTTGCCACCTCTGATCTAGGAGATACATATACAGTAGTTTTATCCTTTTAATATTAAAAATCAATTCCTTAACATTGAAATAATTAGAAGACATGTTTATGTAAAATCTTTGGAATTTTTTCCTTTATTATTGTTTAATTTATCAATTATAGAAGTATAAAACTATTCTTTGTTATAAAAATGTCTTCTACTGGCTACTGGTTGTGTGAAAACAGTAGTATGTTAATTGCTCTTAGTATGTTTTCATTAGCATGTGTTGATACAAATTGCTTTAATGAATTATTTGGTTAAAGCTGTAAATTTTTAAATAATGTTTTCATAATTTTTTTCTTACTGCCACGCAAGTGTCATTTTGTGTCAGCACTTACTGTTGTTTTTGTCAACTCAAAATCGTTATCATCGATCAAAATTGAAGACACACCAGTGGATGATCCTTCATTGAAGATTCTTGTGGCCAATAATAGTGACACTCTAAGGCTCCTAAAAATGAGTAGCTGTCCTCATGTTTCATCTGATGGTAGGTTATATTTTTTTAGGCTTGAACGATTTTTTTTACACCACAGTAATAGTACTAATGCAATTTCTTTTTTAAGATTGCATACTTATGAAAAATAAATCATGATAGTAATTTTTTTCAAAAGAAGTCTTAATATACAAGCTAGATATAGTTTAAATGGTTTCTCATGAGAGTATTTTACACATTTTATTTTATATAGTTATATATGTCTTGGCAACCATTTTCTCAGAAATAATTAGATATTTATTTTAGTAAATAATAACTAACATCAAATTTAAATTTACAAAATGTTGTATTGGTATCAGTATGATTATTCTTAAGACATTTGCTCACTTTTCCGCAGGAATACTTTGCGTAGCTGATCATTGTCAAGGCCTCAGAGAACTGGCGTTGAATTATTACATTCTGAGCGACGAACTTCTCCTCGCACTTTCAAGCGAGACTCACGTTCACCTTGAACACCTTCGGATTGATGTCGTGAGTGAAAATCCTGGACAGATTGAATTTCATTCTATCCAAAAACGTAGTTGGGACGCCCTTATTAAACACTCCCCTAGAGTTAACGTTGTCATGTACTTCTTTGTATATGAAGAGGAATTCGAAACGTTCTTCAAAGAAGAAACCCCTGTTACTCATCTTTATTTTGGTCGTTCAGTAAGCAAAGCAGTTCTAGGACGGATAGGTCTTAACTGTCCACGACTAATCGAGTTAGTGGTTTGTGCTAATGGTCTGCAGCGTCTTGATGATGAACTTATTCGTATTGCTGAACGCTGTACGAACTTAACAGCCTTGGGCCTCAGCGAATGTGAGGTTAGCTGCAGCGCGTTCGTTGAGTTTGTAAGATTGCGTGGGACAAAGCTAACCCAGCTCTCCATAATGGAGGAAGTTTTGATCCCTGACGAAGATTATAACCTAGATGAGATTCATGCTGAAGTCTCCAAATACCTGGGAAGAGTGTGGTTTCCCGATGTGATGCCTATCTGGTAATTGGCTACCAAGGAGTCTGAACTTTTTTTTATAATATTAGTAAAGTTAGCTGCTTTCTGTCAATGCAAATTCAAATTTTTAAGATGCATTGCTGAAATATTTTAGGTCAAATATTTTATCATCTGCAAACTGTCTTAATGGACTGCTGTAGAAACATTTGAAAAAATATGGGAAATGTGAAAAGCCAGGTTATCTCTAAAAACAGGGCACAGGCACTGTGTGTGGATGAGATGGTTGAGATGCCGAAAACTGCAGATGGTTTCTAAGTAGATTCCTCAGCCTCCCTTGGAGGCACACTTTAGCTTGCTAAATAAATGTGTAGGACTGAACTGGGATCCCTTAAGTCCTATCATTTACCATGTTCGATTGTTTTAATTGCTTCTGTTTTATCTTGATATCAATATACTTTATAAAATACATAGTATTAAAAACTAAGTGTAAAATCAAGGTACAGAGACAGATTTACTTACTTGCAAAATTTTTAACACTATATAAGATCATCTTGTGATTTAATAAATCCTAATTTCCAGTGTACTTTGAATTCTACTCTATTAGATTAACCTGGGAGGTGATGGGCACTAGATTAAAATTTTAAAATACTGATTCATTTTATAAAGATACTCATACGAAAAGAGGAAAGATACCCATCGTGATGGTTAATTGATTAAATACACTAGGTCAATTTTGCAGGACATGTTTGGGAGGGAGTCAGCATTCATTGGCCTTCTGCTGTGGATCTGGGACTATGCTGAGTCCTTTGCCTGAGTGATCTTATAATTTAACTAGTGACACAGGCAGAGCCCTTCAGTGGCTGCCTATTGTCTTTAGGATGAAGATATATCCTTAAAATGACGTACAAGGTCTGGCTTCTCCTTGCTTCCTCGGCCTCATTTCCACCAAGACTCCCATAGCCCTCTGTGCCCACTCTCTCACCCTGCACCCCCTAGTCACAAGGCTTCACATACTCTTCTCTCCACCTGACTTCCTCTCTCTGCTCTCAGGTCTTTCCTCTCGATGTCACGTCCTCACGGGAGCCTTCCTTGATGCCTGGCCCATTCCCCGTTCACAGATCAGGTTGCACGTCTGTGGCACCTACCGCTGTTGTGATTTATCATTGCTGGTCTATTACCTGTTTCTCCACTGCACTGTGAACTCCATCCGTGCCAGATCACCGTTGGTCTTTGCTCACTGTTACGTATCCCCAGCATCCGGCATGCTGGTTAGTTAGTATACAACAGGCACTCAATACATTTTACTGAAGTACTCTGTTTTTCAAACTTGTTTCCCTACATCCTCCCTGCAATGTCTTACATTTCTTTCTAAGAAACCAATTAAACTAAAAAAAAAAAAAATAGAAAATGAAATATGTTCATTAGTTTCCAGTTTTTTTATTTCACCTATTAAGCAATTAGAATACATTGTGATTTGTAAATGGTTTTGTAAAAGTAGCACTTTCAGTCCCTTTAGTTAGACTGAGTTGTGCCTACATTCTCGCCACTGTGCCGTGTTTGTCACTGTGAGCTCCATGAGGCGTCTCGTATTCACCTTTGTGTCCTCACTCGCAGAACGATATGAGCTACATTAGTCAGTACTCAGTAAATGCTAGCGGAGCTGACACTACTGGTTAAAAATAAAGCAATTTCTTGAAGACCGAGTGATTACTCTTACAGATCATATAATTCATACTTTAAGATTTCAGGAGGGTACGGAAGCAGCGTGGACTAGGGAACTCAAAATGTGATTAGGATAACAGAACAAGCATGAAAGCACTGGCTTGACGGAGGTGGAGCTGGGGGTCAGAGTGACGGTGGGAATTCTGAAGGGCTGAGCCTCTGGCGTTACCCTACCATGATGCACGGGAGCAGGCGGGTGGGGTGTGCTTACCTGAACGGCAAGGCGATAGGATGCCAGTGGCGTTTGCACTGAGGATAATGGAGCAAAACAGAGAGGGACTGGAGAGGAGAGGTCGGGGGAGTTTCTCCCCATGGCCTACTAGCACGGAGAGATGATGCGTGCCGGTGGCCTCTTCTGTATGAAATGAGAAGTTGCTGCTCTAAACTGCTTTTTGGTGGCCCAGTAGTTGAACCTTGTGAACTAAGCACTATAATGAATCTTAGAGCAAAACTTAGAGTAATCTGGGTTCGTTCACTCATGTAAATTGACCTGGTTGGTCTGACTTCCTGGGGTCATAAATGGAAGAGCAAAACATTTTTAAGACAGCCAAAAACAAGGAAACGTAGAGTCTTTTTAATGCTTCGTCTAATGAAAATGTCTCTATTTACTTTGGAAGTCTGTGAAAAGTACTGTTTAAGATTAGAGGATTCTTGATAAACTAGTTTGATACTAGATTTCAAACTTTCGTCTTTGAAAAATATTTAGTTCTGTAAGCAAATCCGTTCGTGTTAAAAATATTTATTTGCATTTGTTAGTCGATTCTGGAAAAGTTTGGATAATTTTATGGGCAAAAAGTAAATGGAGAGAATGGGGAAAGGTCCCTTTGTAGGTTGTACTGAGGAAACACAAAAATAGGAGTCTCAGATTTTTTTGAGTTTTCTTCCTTATGAGCTTTGCTGGCTTCGTTTGTATTGTACACAATATGTGAGAGAGAAGACAGGAGGCAAGCCAATTTTTCAGTGTGTGTGTATTGCTGTCAGTGTGCCGCTAAGTGTGATAAATGTTGTCCAATGGATATGAGAATTCTTCCCTCTGTAGGCCTGGCCTCTTAAATTGGCCACTTTTCTTCTTCTTCTATTAAATTAATTTACTGCAGATAAAACATTCTCAAAGTAAAAATTGATATTATTCACATTAATTTATAGCTATCAAACCTGACAGATTATCTGATACCACAATTTTTGAAGTATGTATTATAATAACTTTTACTAAGGAAAAGTAAGTTACTCAGTCCTATTACTCTTGTGTCATTCGAATCTTTATATTAATAATATTTTGACTTAAGTTTAATGTCTTGACATCCAAACTTAAAAGATAAGGAGGAAAAAACCCACTCTTTTATAATGCACCAGAGGGCGCTGTATTCCAGTTCTTCCTCAGAAAGAAATCCTTTGGTCCAAAGTTTGCACGTCCATTAAGCAGATAGGAGAATGCTGAGCAGGAGACGACCTTCTTGTTGTGCCTTGGGGAAGCTCTCCATTCCGGGTAATGAGTCTGGCTTTTAAAACAATATGCATATCCAACTCTGCTTTGCCTCCTAAATAATCACTTCAGAAGGTTATTTGGAATGCTAAGCATGGATTTCATTGTGCAAATATTTGAGAGCTCCTTTGGAAATTGCCTTTAAAGCTGGTATGCCATTTCCTTTTTTTTTGTGGCCTCAGCGGGAACACAGCCTTTATCTTTTGAAAGCAAATTTAATTTTTGGAAACAACCTGAGGTTGTGTGGTTACCAAGGAGATGCATGATGGAGATAATCAAATCAGACAGTGCTGGATATAATTTTTTTTAACTAGAAGAAAAATTCTTAACTTGCTAGTTGTGTGTAAGATGTCTCGACACAGTAGAGAATGGTATCTAACTGGGTATGAGAAAGTGCTAATCGTGTGACACAGACTCTCAGCTGTCTGAAAATCATCATTAACTTTCTTCCTTGCCACCCACGTACAAGTCCTGTCGCCTCTATAACATATTATTTGTAATAATAAATACCCATGAAATCACCTCCAAACTATAAAACTACAGCATTGATAGTAACGTAAACCTTTCTATGTGGTCCTTCCCTATCCAATCATGAAGTAACTAGTATTCCTTATTTTCTTGCTTTCCTTTTTATGTAATTTATTATATATGTATGTATTCTTTAAAATTTTGTTTTGATTTTCATTGTTTTGACTTTATAAAAAGAATATCATGCTTTATGTGATCTTTCGGACTTTGTTAAAACTATGTTGCTATGATTCATCCATTTGATTATGTTTAACTGAGGTTCATTTATCATGACTGCTGTATAATAGTCCATTCTATAACTTTAACACAATTTATTTCTCCATTTCACTGTCAAAGGGCATTTGGGTTGTACTAGGTTTTGCTATGACAAGTAGTGACATCCTGAACATTCTTATATATATGTCATGGTATATAAGTATAGCCATTTCTCTAATAATAAAGTTCAATTAATGATGTTTTTCTCTAGCATACCTACACATAAGAATGGAGTCATTCTACTAAAGTTTTCTACATTTCAAAAGAATTTGAGCAAAAATTTATGAAGAAAGTTTCCAGGGTGATTAACTCAACTTATTCATTCCTTACTCTTAGTCTGACTGACTAAAATCTAGGAAGCCAGAATTATTTCTGGTTCTTTGAACATTTGTATGGTCTTGTTTCCTCTTAGTACCTGTTGCCAACATAACTAAGATAGAATAAATACATAGATATACAATGATGTGTAGAAATAAGTAGCTGTAGTATGCATATGTTTAGATGAGACCAACTGACCCAGTTTCATGAAATACTTCTGATAAAGATAGACCTGCTTCTCATTCTGGTACTTCCTGTAATGTAGCCTCCCTGAAATCTAGAATATGTTTTCTTAGACTGCCATGATTCATTACCTAGGAAACCTGTTATTCTTACAGAGCGTGGGGAAGTATGGAAAGACCAGCAAATCCTTTCTTATCCTTGAAAGTGGCTCTCCCTCCAACCATTTTAACCAACCTAAGGAATTTGCTCAGAATCTTCACTACCTTAACTCAAAAGTAGCCTCCAATTTATTCAACAATTATTTATTAAGTGTATACTACATCTAGCGTTGTAAACCACTCTCCATTCTTGCACCATAGAAACATCTTCAGGCTTTTTATTTCCAAGAATAAAGGTAGGCTAGTTTTAGAGTTGTCAAAAATGCAGCCTGGTCCAGCTTGAATTCACTCGTTTATTTATCCTAGGTCTTCAAGACCGAAAAATCTAAAAAACAAAACCACCCAGATCCCATAGGTGACAGAAAAATCAGCCCCAAGAAATTAGTTCATACCCAAACATCA